AGTCTTGGCACCTCGGACCTGTCCTTACACTATTCCCCCCCGAAGTCATTCACTTGTGAATGATGTTGCTGGGGATAATGAGGGGAGTGTATGAACAAAGAGGATACGGATAAATCATAGAAGTAAAAGGAAGAAATAAAATTTGTAATTCGAATGCATACATAACCGTATGCGATAAGAAGAGAGTGTGACCAGAGCGATCGTGGCCGTAGCCATGGTAAAAATAATGACCGGAGTCAATGTGGCCGAAGCCATAGTAAGAGATGATGACCGAAGTCATGGTGGCCGGAGCCATGATAAAAAATGATGACTGGAGTCATAATGGTCGGAGCCGTAATAAAATATGATGACCGAAGTCATAATGGCCGGAGCCGAGGTAAAGGATGTGACATGTGGTCATAGTAACTAGGACCGAAGTAGAACATGTCTCCGTGGCCGGAGCCGAAGTAAAACACTAAGTTAAAAAGTGCAATTGTAGAAGTAAACAGAAGTGCTAAGCTAGGCTTAAGTATAAAGACGGGAGTCAAAAGGGCTGGGGCCATAATAAAATATAATGACCGGAGTCATAATGGCCGTAGCTGAAGTAAAATGTGTGATATTGGATTTGAAATGTAACGCATGATTATTGTGGTTGGAGCCGAGGTGAAACACTTGCATAATTGAGAATATGCAAAAGTGAACGGAGGTGTTGAAATGGGCGTAAGTGGGCTTGTCTAAAAATTCTGACAATTGTCCTTGGAATGACGTGTGCAATAAATGCAGCCGTAAAAGGATAACTGCAACAGTTAAACGGGCAAATTTAAAAAAACGAACCGTCGAATTCCAAACGGTGCCGTTTGGGGTTGGCCGTTGAATTCCAAACGGTGTTAATAGTAACCGTAAGATTAAATGAATCTCAGCCGTTGAGATCTAACTTTGCCCAAAGGTATAAATAAGCATTTTTTCTGCAGAGAGAGGTTTACTTGAGTTTCTTTCCCTGCAAAACTTCTGCGAAAAGCTTTACTGTGCGTTTCCTGTTTGTGAACTACGGCATCAACTGGGGACCTCTACATCAAGCCTTTTGAAACCAAAATCAGGTAATGTATGACGAACCTCTGATTTTGAGTTAATTAAAGTGTCTCTCTCCTTTCTCCCTTTCTGTGATTGATTTAAAGTCCTTTGAAGGAAGTTAGGGTTAGAGGTGAGGAGGATTTTGAATGTGCAACAAAAGGGGTTTTTTTTTTTTTTGGGATCCTGACTTATTCCTCCCCCCTAGTTCGTGCAGAGTTTGAGAAAATGTCGTCAGAAAGAACACAAAGTATAGTAGGGAGTGAGGTGATGCCTTTGGACTATGGGAGCATGGACTCAGAGAGTAGTCCATCTCCTTCTAGTTCGGAGAAGACGGTGGAGGGGGTGAGAGGGGATGAGGTGATAGAGGTAGGGGAGGAAGAGGTAGTAGAGGTTAGGGGTAATGAGGTGGTAGGGGTTGGAGGAGATAGCATACCCATAACCGTAGTAGAAGTAGAGGGTACAGGCGAGAGGGATTATGATGTGAATGTCGAGATAGTGGAAGAGGTGCAGCAGTATAGGTCTGAACTAAGGACCAGGGATAGCCTGGGTCACTTAGTGGAAAATTACGAGATCTCTTCTCGAGTGCTGGTTAGGCTAGCTGGGGTAGAGGAGAGAGCGTGTTCTGCTCCTTGGGACCATTGGATGCCCATATATTCCCACTATCTGATAGCAGGATTGAGGTTTCCAATTCCTGAGTTGCTGGTAGGATTGTTATTAGATTACAAGATAGGGTTGACACAATTAGTCCCCAATGCTATGAGGGTAATAATAGGATTTTTAGTCTATTACCGAGCTTAGGGGATTAGTGTGCCAACTGTAAATATGTTTAAGTATTTTTTTTGTTTTAAAGGGGGGTAGTAGGAGGGATAAAGGGTGGTATTATTTCACCTCGAGGGTAGCCAATAGGGAGAGTAGGTCTTTATTCACAGCGGGTCCTTCATCCATTAAAGGATGGAAGGAAAAATTCTTTTTTGCGGATGATACGGAGTGGGGGAAAGGGGATGCCGAGGTGAGGGAGTTATCCTCCTGGAAAGCTAAAAGGGCCAACCAGAATAGGTTTAGTTTGAATGAGGATGAGGAGGAAGAAGTGAGGAAGTTGGTGAGGAAGAGGGGGGATTTACTAAACATAATGGACCTCACCAGCGCACAATGCATAGAAGCTGCCGAGCTCTATGGGCCAAGCGCTTTGAGTGAAGGTTGGTTTAATTCTGCATTGTAGTATTGAATGTGGAATATAGAACTGTGATTAATATTGTGTATTCTTGCTTTGCAGCTGAAATGGACCAGTTTTTAAACACTGCTGGAGGAGCGGCCATCCCCAAGAAGCCAAGGAAGAAGTCAAAGACTTCAACCAAGCAAGTGGATGAGGGGAGGGCTAGGAAGGAGGTAGTGCCCACGACTTCAGCTGAGGCGGAGGAGGAGGTGCCACAGTTGAAGAGGAAGGGGTGGGAGGAGAGGAGGGCACTGCAGAAGAAGCAGAAAGTGGTGGAGGAGGAGGAGAGGGGGGAAGAGGTACCACAGTTTGTACCTCAGCCTTCTCATGTTGAGTTGAACCCTGAGCTCAGACAGTTGAAGGAGGGGGCTGAGGTACGAGCTCCTGGTAAGGGAAAGGCGCTTGTTCCCCCGCTGGGGCCTCATAGCAGCCTGTTCGAGGCGAAGAACATGACGGGGGCTAGGTGGTTCATCAATAGCACCTTCCCCGAAGTGGACAGACACAACACGCGGGATGAAGCTTTGAGGTATGGTGGAGCATCCGTTGTGAAGCACATTCTAGAGGTATGTTAAAGTATTGATGTTGTTTAGTTAATATGTTTTGTCTTCTCTTCTTTCTCTTTGAACCTCTACTTTGATTTGCAGAGCGCGAGCTGGGTGAATGGATTAGCCCAGGAATTCAGGGAGAGCCTGAAGGAGCGCTCGCTCTTGCAGAGGCAGTGTGAACAGCTGCAGAATGAGAAGGAGGAGTTGGAGAAGAGAAACAAAGAACTACAAGAGTCGCTGAACGAGGTGGTTCCAGCTGTGAAGCAATTGGAGCATCAACAGCACCTTCCCCGAAGTGGACAGACACAACACGCGGGATGAAGCTCTGAGGTATGGTGGAGCGTCCGTTGTGAAGCACGTTCTAGAGGTATGTTAAAGTATTGATGTTGTTTAGTTAATCTGTTTTGTCTTCTCTTCTTCTCTCTGAACCTCTGCTTTGATTTGCAGAACGCGAGCTGGGTGAATGGATTAGCCCAGGAATTCAGGGAGAGCCTGAAGGAGCGCTCGCTCTTGCAGAGGCAGTGTGAACAGCTGCAGAAGGAGAAGGAGGAGTTGGAGAAGAGAAACAAAGAACTGCAAGAGTCGTTGAACGAGGTGGTTCCAGCTGTGAAGCAGTTGGAGCAGGAGAGGGCTTCCCTAAGCACCAAGCTCGTCTTTGAAGAGAGCAAACGAAGGATCTCTGAAAGCGAGCGTGAGGCTCAGGCACAAGAATTAAAGCTGACGAAGAAGGCTTTCTTGGAGCTGAAGGAGAATGTGCAGACCTTGGTGCATAATGGAATGAAGGAGCACATCAACAACTTCATCAACTCCAGCTCGTTTGACAACATCGTCAACTTATATCGGCTGCCCACTGCCATCATTGCATTCACGGACTGCAGGAAGAAGGTGAAGGCAGAATATCCCAAAGTGGATATTACGAAGATCACCTTCGGAGAGCAAGAAGAAGGAGTGGAGGAAGACAGTGAGAGCATGTCAACAGACTTCTGTCCTCAGATCAACCTGAGGTGGGAGCATGATGCAAACGGACGTGCTGTATTCCCTCCCCAGTTCGACTTCGAGTTCGTTGCAATGGAGGAAGAAGGGGCAGAGGTAGAGGGAGACGAGGTGGAGGCAGGAGTGGAGGGAGCTGAAGTGGATGAGAGCCAACCGGTTCCAGAAGTGGAGATTCATCCAGTTCCCTTCGACGATGAACAGCCTCCTCTACCAGATGAGTAGCAACCAACACAGCCACCGCCTCCAGCTGAGTAAGAGCCAGTGGAACCACCTCTCCCAGCATAGAAATAATTTTGTTTTTTAATTTTTTGTAGAAACATTAATCAATTTGTAACACTATTATGTTTGTTTTATATATTTTTGTTATCTTCTACGAATAAAAGAACTGAGAGTACTTGAGACTTGATTTGAAAGAAAGCTAACTTCTTCAGAAATGAACAGAAGGGAAGTAAGCCACTTTAGACGAAGTAAATCACTTCATATAGATTGAGAACAAATACATCGTTGTAAATGAATTAAAAAGAAATAAAGCACTTCATATGTGAAGTGACATTTATTAACAGAAGTGAGGTTCAAGGAATGAATGAACTGATTGACCTCAGAAGAGGTAAAATAAATCTCAACAAACACGAAGTGAGATGTGTAAAGAACAGTAAGACATAGATCACTTGAAAGAATTTTATTAGGGGTAAAATTTCTTCAAGTTATTGACATTCCAGACTCTAGGAATTCTCTTTCCTTCAGCGTCTTAGAGGACATAGGCACCAGGATGTGGCACCTCGGCCACGGCATAAGGGCCTTCCCAATTCGGGGCGAGTTTGCCAAAACAAGTTTCAAACCCTGTTAGGCCAGCTTTTCTGAGAACAAGATCTCCTACTTTAAATGTTTGAGGGCGGACCCGTTTATTGTAGAAGTTGGCTAGTTTCTGTTTGTACACAAGAGTTCGAAGCCGAGCTTCTTCTCTGACTTCGGCAAGCAGATCAAGGTTTTCCCGAAGCAGTTGTTCATTTCGTCCTTCATCGAAATGGGTGACCCGGAAGCTTGGGACTCCTATTTCAACGGGAATGACTGCTTCAGTGCCAAAGGCCAAGTGGTAGGGTGTTTCACCTATTTTAGTTAGTTATAACTTTAGAATGCGCTTTACACATTATGCATATTTGCTCTAAGGTAAAGCGTAACAGAAGAAGTAAAATAATATAGAAATTAATCAAATAGATTTGGTTTTAAGGTAGTACCTGTGGCAGTTCGGCTCGTGGTTCTGTATGCCTAGAAGACGTTGTTGAGCTCCTCTGCCCACTTGGCCTTATGTTGTTCCAATCTCGGCCTTATACCTTCCAAAATGCATTTGTTAACAGATTTGACCATACCATTGGACTCCGGATGATAAACGGAGGTGAACTGTAACTTGATCCCATAACTGGAACAGAAATCTCGGAATGAGGAGCAATTGAATTGAGTTCCATTATCGGTCACAATCTGATTCGGGATCCCATATCTGCAGATGATCGAGCTAAAAACAAAATCTTCGACTTTCTTGGAAGTAAGACTAGATAAAGGCCGAGCTTCAACTCACTTTGTAAAATAATCCACACCAACAATCAGATGGGTTACAACACCAACCCCTTTCACAAATGGGCCTAAAAGATCCAGTCCCCACTGAGCAAATGGCCATGGTGTTACCAAGTTCGTGAGCTCCTCTGCTGGTTGGTAAGTCAGATGTGCAAAGAATTGACATTTCGGGCATTTCTGAACAAAGTAAGTGGCATCTTTATGCATGTTTGGCCAGTAATATCCTTGCCTTAAGACTTTGTGAGCCAAAGTCCTAGCACCGACATGACTCCTACAGACACCTTCGTGCACCTCTCGAAGTGCATATTCAGCTTCATAGGGGTTTAAACACCGCAGAAGAGGAAGTGAGAAAGATCTCTTATATAGGGCCCCATCAACGAGTGTATATCGAGATGCTTTCTTTCTCAACTTCATTGCCTCCTGCCTATCCTCATGTGCTATCCCATCTCGCAAAAAGGAGATGATTGAATCAGTCCAGCTCGGCGCGTCAGGGTTTGTGCTAATCTCCATCACCCGAGGCTTCATGAAGCTTGGTTCATCTAGGACCTCGACAAAAACAGATCTGGAACTTAAAGAGCTATCAGAGGCAAACTTGGAGAGTGAATCTGCCTGTTCATTCTCAGTTTGGGGGATTTTGCTCAAACAGAATTTTTGGAATTTTCATTTCAGCTCGGCCACCAAGGCTACATATTTCACCATCACAGGATCAACGACTTCGCAGATTGAGTTGATTTGGTTTACTACCAATTGGAAGTCACTGTATACTTGAATTACATTGATTTTTAACTCTAATGCTAGCTGTAGGCCAAGTAGCAGAGCTTCATATTCAGCCATGTTATTTGTTGCATCAAAGTTGAACTTCAGAGCATGTTCGCTTCGGTATCCCTCTGGACCAATCAAGAAAGCGCCAGCCCCTGAACCCTTGCTATTAGATGCTCCGTCAACATATAAGGTCCATTCGTTGGGCTCTGGATTAGAGGTTGAAGGATATGAAGTACATTCAACAATAAAATCTGCTAATGCTTGAGCTCGGATGGCCGATCTCTGCTGAAACGTTATCTCAAACTCCCCCAGTTCTACTGCCCACTTAATTAATCTTCCAGAGCACTCTGGTTTCTGCAAAATCTACCTAAGAGGTTGATCTGTGAGAACAATAATTCGGTGTGACTGGAAATATGGCCTCAACTTTCTGGCCGAAATGACAACTGCTAATGCTGCTTTTTCAGCTATAGGATACCTCAGCTCTGCCCCATGCAGTACACTGCTAATATAATATATTGGTTTTTGTTTTTTGGCTTCTTCTCGCACCAGAACTGAACTAATGGCTTCATCTGAAATTCCCAGATACAAATAAAGAATTTCCCCATCGATGGCCTTAGTCAGTAGAGGTGGCGAGCTAAGATAAGACTTTAGCTCGTTGAATGCAGTTTGGCACTCCTGACTCCATTCAAATTTCTTCTGTTTTCCTGATTCATCCTTCTGGGCGGCCAACCTCATAATCTTGAAGAATGGCAGGCATTTATCTGCTGACTTCAATATGAATCGATGAAGAGCTGCCACTCTTCTAGTCAACCTCTGTATATCTTTTACTAATTTCGGCGGTTCCATATCGGCAATTGCTCTAATCTTCTCTGGATTGACCTCAATTCCTCTTCGAGACACCATGAAACCTAGAAACTTTCCAGACTCCACGCCGAAAATACATATGGCTAGGTTCAACCGCATCCTGTTCTTTCTGAGGTTGTTGAAGGTTTCGTCGAGATCAGCTAGATGGTCTTCTGCTCTTCGGCTCTTCGGCTCTTTACTACGATGTCATCGACATACACCTCTAGATTCTTGCTGATCTGAGCTCGGAAGACGATGGTCACCAACTTCTGATAAGTATCACCAGCGTTCTTTAAGCCAAACGGCATCATGACATAGCAATAGATTTCATCGCCAGCATAGAACGAGGTTTTCTCTTCGTCTTCGAGAGCCATCGGCACTTGGTGATATCCAGAATATGCGTCCAAGAGGCTTAACCTCTCATTGCCTAAAGCCGCTTCAACTAACTTGTCAATGCTCGACATCGGATAGCGATCCTTGGGGTAGGCGTGGTTAAGATTTGTGTAATCAATACACATTCGCCATTTACCGTTTGCCTTCTTCACCAGGACTGGGTTAGCCACCCATTCGCAGTAATCAACTTTCTTGACGAAACCAGCTTGTAGAAGTTTCTCTACCTCTTCTTTAATAACCTGAAGCCTCTCCCCCCCGAAGAGACCTCGCTTTTGGGCCACTGGTTTCTTCAACGGATTGGTGCTAAGCTTGTGTTGGGATACTGATTTCGGAATTCCTGGCATATCGGCCGAAATCCATGCGAATACATCATTATTAGCTCGGAGAAAAGCTATTAACTGTGCTTGTTCCTCTGGGTTCAATCTAGTTCCAATCTGCGTCGTTCGGCTCGGATCTCTGCCATCAATGAGCACCTCTTCAACATCTTTGACCGGAGTAGCTCTGGTTTCATCTTCCGGTCGATTATCGACGATCTCAAGGCCCATAACCTACTGATTATCAGGAATTGGTTGGGGAATGGCCTCGGGTGTCTGATCTTTGCCCTTCATAGGTTGCGTTACGGAGGTGATATAACAATGCCTGACCACCTCCTGGTTTCCTCGTAGTGTTGCTATTCTCGTGGGAGTTGGGAACTTTATACAGAGGTGAGACTGGAAAACCATAGCTCAGATTTCAGTCAGTGTGGGTCGGCCAATAACAATGTTGAAAGAGAACGCCATTTTGACTACGAGGAAACGGACTGAAGGAGTCACATAGGTCCTGCCACTCCTAAAAGCCACATGGAGGGTAAGAACTCCTTCTACCGGAACAGGCTGGTTGTTGAAGCCATAGATAGGACCATCATACTTCTGCAACAATGTTGGATCCAGTCCCAGACTCTCGAAACAGTGGAAGTACATGATGTCTGGTGCATTCCCGGTGTCAACAAGGACGTGCTGTACTTCACAGTTATTAATCAGGACAGAAGTGACCAAGGGATCATTGTGTGGTGTAACAACTGTATCGAGATCAACAAACGTGAAAGTAATGGGCTGATTTTTCCACTCAGCATCGTCAATCTTCCGCTTCTAAGCCCGGTTTTGATGTTTAATCTCTCTGACATACAGCTTTCGCTGCTTAGAGCTCAGTCCACCTGCTTCAAGGCCTCCCGTAATCATGTGTATGATTCTGGCTGGGGGTGGGAGTGGAGGTGAGGCTTGCTGATATCCCACACCTTGCCTATTTGGGGGATTGGGACTCCTTGGGGCTGTGACCTCTGTTCTCTGATAAACCTCGGCTGTTCAGCCTTCTGAACATACTCATTTAGCATTCCCTTCTGCGCTAAACTTTCCAGTTCGGACTTTAAGCTGTTGCACTGCTCTGTAGTATGGTCGTGATCTTGATGAAAATCAAAATATCTGGTGTGGTCTCGACTAGCAGCAGCAGTTTTCATTGGGCCAGGACGCTTTAAATCCATCTTATTCTTGATCTGCATAAAAATTTGTGACCTCGGCAGATTAAAGAGAGTCCAATTAACTAGAGGTTTACCTGCAGATTGTTGCGGGGGTGTTGAGTTTGGCCTTCCGAATCTCGGTGGGGAGGTCAACATCGGACCTCGGTTCTGCGCCATCCTCATCCTTTTCCTGCTCGGATTGTCATCTCTCCATTCTGGGTGTTGGTTCTTAGAGGGAGGTGGGTTTTGCGCCAAGGCGTACTCCTCAGCAGTTATAAATTTCAGAGACCTATCGTTCACCTCGCTAAAGGTGGTGGCAGCATGTTTGATCAAACTGTCTCTAAACCTGTCATGCTTGAGACCGGAGATCACAGCTGCAATTCCCACAGCTTGATCAAAGGAACTAACCTCTAAAACTGCATCATTGAACCTGCTCATATAGTTCTTCAGAGATTCTCCATCCCTCTGTTTAACTCGCATCAGTTCAGAAGTAGTTTTCCTAATCAACTTTCTACTGGAAAACTTAGTGGCAAAGGCAGATGTCATTTCTGTATAAGAGCTAATTGACCTCGGAGGTAAACTGTAATACCAAGTTCGGGCATTACCTCGGAGAGTAGAAGGGAAGATTTTGCACATTAACGTGTCAGAGGCGTTCTAAGCTTGCATGCAAGAGTAGAAAGCATGCAAATGATCATCAGGATCCTTCGTCCCGTCATAAGTCTCTAGTTGTGGTATTTTGAAGCCAGCAGGATAGGATTCCAGTGTAATGTTGGTATTTAGAGGGTGAGGTATGGAGTCAGTAGCATGGTGTGGTGGTGGAGCATCTCGGTGTTTAGCTACTAGCTTTTCCAAGCTATCGAGGCGTCGAGTGACATCATCAGGGATGGGTTGTTGAGTGGGTGCGATGTGGGATTGACCCTGAGATTCACTAATAGCGGGAGCATGCTGAACCAGTTGAGGATTCTGTTGTGGGGCTGGGGGTTGTTGAG